AAGCAATGTGGGCTCTCCCTTAGGTACTGAGCCTGACAGCCCAAACAAGCCTTCCTATTTAGGAAACGTGGAGTTTACAAGGTGCTTTGCAGTATGAATTCCGACAGCAATGACCACATTCTCCATTTTACAGAGTAGATGCCCAGAGCCCCACTGGTATTTAGTGGAAGAGAAATTCAAACACAGGCAGTCTAACACCAGGGCACAGGGATGTCTAGGGACTTGTCTGGAAACAGAGAGCAATGGCAAGTGCACAGGCCCTGGGTGCTCACTCTGGCTCTCCCTTCCCTCAAGAAAGGCCAAGGCCGTATCTTCACAGCCACCTTGGTGGTCACTCTGACAATGGAAGCAAATTGGCGACCACAGGAAAGGGGGGTAGCTTACACTGGGCACACCAAACTCATCGCCTGACTGAAGTCTTCTCAAGGCTGGGGACCCCTCCTAAAACCCCTATTTCATCTCCTACCATAGTCCCCAAGGAAAGGAAAATGTGTGTAGCCTTTCCCATCCCTTCAGTAAAGCACACCCGTAAGCCAGGAGAAGGTACCAGTTCCTGTAAAGGAGTAGAGGCAGCCAGGTATGTGTCAAGATTTTGCTGCTGGATGAGGGTGGTGGAACATGACTTTAGTCCTGGCACTCAACAGGCAGAGGCAGGTGGACATCTATGAGTTGAGAGCAGACTGGTCTACATAGTCAATTCCAGCTAGCTGGGCTACAAAGAGACCAGCAGTGTCAAACAGTGTTCCTGTTATTAAAAAAAAAAAAAAAAAAAAACCAAAACCATTGTGAATGCTATACCGTGTTTCTTTCTAAGTCCAAAATTAAACTGTTCACAGTGCAGATCAGTGTGACCAACTGACATTCAGCTAGCTGCACAAGACTGTGTGGGAGCGAATGTCCACACAAAGACACCAATGTGGAATCTTTCAGACTCCGCCACCAGGACAGTGCCCCGTGTCTTCAGGGTAGCGAGCACAGTGAAGCTAATGCTCAGCAGCTTCCTACCGACGGCCCACCATCCCTGCTTCTCACCTAGGAGAGAAGGGATGCTCAGGAACAAGCTAAAGCCCAACCCCTTTCCGGCATAACCGCACATCTGCAAAACATGAAAGACAAACCACCCAAGGAGATGCAGTTCATAGGGCAGAAGACAACCAACCTGTAAAAGCAAATGAGACTTCTGGTTAGACATAAACCAAAGTGCTCAGGGCTGGAGAGATAGCTCAGGGTTGAAGAGCCCTGTGCTCTTCCAGAGGACTTGTGTTCAATTCCCAGCACCCACAGGGCAGCTCACAACTGCCTGTAACTCTAGTCCCAGCGGATCTGACGCCCTCTTCTGGCCTCCTCTGGGGACGGCAGACATGCACATGATACATTGACATACATACAAGCAGGATATACGTAGACATAAAATAAGCAAAAACTGAAAAACTAAACCAAAATAAAAGAACAAACAACAACAAACTGAAAAATGAACAAACAAGAAAAATAGAAGAAAACTCCAGGCGCTAAAAGCCAAAGCCGCAGAGAAGGGCTGGCCACAAGCAGACCTGAAACCTGGCAAAAGGCTGTTCCCTGTGCCTGAGAAGAGGTGACCCTCTTCTGCTGCTATTTAAATATCCAGGTTTCCTGCCACAGTTTTTGCCGTGTATAGGGATAATGAAGTGCTGTCCTGGAGTTTCTGTACACTGTACTAGTCTTTAAAAAAACAAAACATTGTCTCCAGTTTCCACTCAGCTACTCCTACCTTGGTTGTGAATTTAAAGCGAACCAGCTCTGGGGTCCTGTCAGAGCTCGCTGGCTCATCTTCACTGTACTATGGACTCTGTAGCGCCCTGAACTCAGCCAACTCGTTTAGAAGGCAAAATAAATGAATGTAATTTTACAAAGTTTAAAGACAGTTTTGTGTCAGGGCTGGAGATGGCTCAGCAGTTAAGAACACTGACTGTTATTCCAGAGGACCCAGGTTCAATCTCTAACACTCAGATGGCAGCTCACAGTTATCTGTAACTCCAGTTCCTGGGCATCCCTTGGCCTCTCTGACCTCCTGCAACACCAGACATGCATGTGGTACACACATGCAGCCAAACACCCGTATGCACAATATAAATAAAAGGAAAATAAAAAATATACTTTTGTGAACACTAATTACACTTGTAGAATATCTGAATGTGCATTACGTTTATGCTCTGGAAGATTTATTTTTTAAAAAAGGTTTATTTATGTATATGGCGTTCTGCCTGTATGTACACCTGCAGGCCACAAGAGGGCACCGGATCGCATTATAGATGGTTGTGAGCCACCATGTGGTTGCTGGGACCTGTACTTCGGACCTCTGTAAAAAGCAGCCAGTGCTCTTAACGTTGGAGCCAGCTCTCCAGACCCCAGGAGCATTTGTTTAACAATGTAAACATGTGTTTCTTTTGTTTACGCTGTATTTGTTTAACTCTGTGAAGCTGTGATTGATTCTCTGCCTGTCTAAAACTCCTGATGGGCTAATAAAGAGCTGACTTGCTGCTAACAGTAAGGCAGGGGAAAGACTAGGTGGGGAATGGAAGGCAGAGAAAAAAATACAAGAGAAATCTGGAAGAAGGAGAGCAAGAAAAAGGGCAAGGGGAGGATGACAGCAGGGATCAGCCACTCAGCCCGGCACAGAGTAAGAGTGAAAGCAAGCTACACAGAAGAGAAGGAAAAAGCCCAGAGGCAAGTTAGCTGAGTTAACTTTAGAAAGGCTGGTAAGAAATAGCCAAGCTAAGGCAGGCATCTATAAGTAATAATAGGCCTCCCTGTGTGTGATTTATTTGGGAGCTGGGTGGCAGGCCCCCAAAAGACAAAAAAAAAAAAAAAAAAAAAAAAAAAGAGAGAAATAATAATAAAAAAAATCATACTCAGGTTTCTGGTCTAAAGCTTTCAAAGAGGAAACTCTTGGCATGATACACATGCTTGTCTCCATACATGTGTGCACCAAACATACTATGTTAGGTTTGCTTGTTTTTGAGCTACAGTCTCACTGTGTAGCCCTAGCTACTCTGGAATTGGTATGTGGACCAGGCTGGCCTCAATTCAATTGTTTCTGCCTCCTGAATGCTGGGAATAAAGGTGTGCACCACCATGATCAGCTCTAAGTGTATTTGTCTGATCGAGGTACAGAAAGACGGAATTATGATGGTTTTGGGCATGAGACTGATGATTTGTGCTGGCAGTTCTGTCTATCTACAATTCAAAGGAAGTTATTTCAAAAGATCTAGGGTCAGGTTAAGAGCACTGACTGCTCTTCCAGAGGTTCAGAGTTCAATTCCCAGGAACCGCATGGTGGCTCACAGCCATCTGTAATGGGATCTGATGTCCTCTTCTGGCCTGCAGGCATATATACAGACAGAACACTCATACAGACAAAAAAAAAAAAAAAAAGACCTAGTGTCATGCTATAGATGTGCCCCCCCCCCCACGGATATAATATGCAAAGTATTAAGTCACTGGTTGTTAATGGCAGCCAGATACGTCCTAACCACATTTAAGCCCCTCAAATCTAGAGCTGAGGTCAGTATCTGAGCCTCAGTCCATACCTCGTGTTACTGTTCAGAAGAATCAACAATATCAAACAAAGGGCTCTCAGTAGGTGTTCCAAAGCACATTAGAATACCACCAGGGGAAATGAAAACAGCTATATTTTTAGAAAAAAAAATGCAATCATGATTAAAACCAAACATAAGCCCACAAAAAAACTGGCAGTCAGACTTCAACAAGACCGAGCTGCTCAGATGAGTGGTGTTGAGATCAGTTCCCGCTTGTGCTCCTTGGTGGCATCTCCAGTCTCTTCTGCTAAACCACAGGGCCTCCTGTCCCTGAGAAGGGAAGGGCAAGAGCAAACTCTCACTGTTCAAGAACCTTCAGCTAAGCACTCGTGCAGCTCTTCCTGAGAGCCCCCTCCCTTTGTAAAAGCCCTGCTGTCGGCTTCAGTCCTTGAGGATTTTGTGAGACCACGTGGACAGAGTAAAGTTGATTCTGGAACCTGACGTTGTCCAGCACAGGACACCCACACGATCTCCTAGGCACTCCACTCCGTTCCCCACAAGGAAGGACAGCACTTCTCAGTCTTTGCTCCCATGAAGACAGAGGTCTGAGATGAAGACTGCCTTCTAGATAATGTCACCCCAACTCCTCAGCACCCTGAAGAAAAGCTGTGACACATGAATACCACGTCGTATCTGGCTGTTCCTCGAGCCTCCACTCTGGAGTCAGCTTTGTTTAGCACAAAAGTAGGAAACTGGTTTAAGTCTCAGAATGACCTGTGAATTCCATTCTCGGGCAGAACGGTCCAAACCTACAGGTTACTCTAGGAAATACTTGTGGTGGGCAGGCTGGGACTGAACAGCCTACCATCACTTAACATCCAGCAACTCTGAACACGACTGCCCACGCCTTCACAGGTGCCATGTTGAACAAGGCAGAACCAGGTCTGTCCAATGCCTGAACTAAGGTCTTTAAACTTCTAGCTACATTTTTAACCAGGGCGGATGGAGACCACTGTGCGGCAGACTGGCCTTTAAACATGGGTGGTCTGACAGTGCCCCGTCCTGAGGGAGCTGACCTTCCCCATCACTTATTTCTACACGTGTGTGCACTCATTTCAGAGTCACACTGCTTCCACGCTAGCCCACACACTGTGACTACAGCAGCGCACTAGAGACACAAGCGTCCTTGCCCTGCTGAGCTGTACTCCATCTTTTCAGCTTCTAGAACAATCTCTGGTAGTGGGTGTAATAGACAAACTGTGTGCCACAGAATTCCACCTGTGACATCCTTAGAAACAGGCCTAACAATCCCCCAAGCTGATATGTGCAGGATTTCTGGAACAGCAGTGTCTCAGGGCTGCTCTACGAAAGGCCACTATGAACACTTAGGAAAAACCTTGAAGACGCTCTATTTTAAAGGTTGGAATAAGTACTTTAGATGGCTTTAGGAATTTACTGTTCTATGAAAAAAAAAATAGTGCAAGATGCCCACAATCCTATCACAGGCAGTGAATGCCATGTGCATAAGGATTTAAAATTGATTTTTATTTGCAAAATTAAAAAGCTTAATCAGAGTTGGGGTCCTTCTTCTTTCTTCTTGTCCCTGCCTTTTCTCTGCCATGTTCCGGCTGTTGCGTCAGCCACTCTTTCTGGAGCTGCTTCAGCATGTCTGCAGTGAGGAGTCCTTGCTGCACCAGCCTGGAAGCAAGGGGCAGCTCGCTGGCACTGGGGCTGAGTGGCTCTGCAGCTTTATCCCCTGCACTTTTGGTGCCACGTGTCCTTTTTGCTGGGCTCTTTAAGGTTCCTGACAACTGTGACTGGTTCCCTGACTGTGAGCTCTCCAAATTCAAAAGCTTGCGTGACTCAGAAAGTTTAATCAGTTTGGTGATGTTGTGTACACCATCTTGGATAATGACATCCAGTTCTTTCTGGAGATTTCGAACAAGGCTGGAGTCTGGAAACATATCCATGAAACGGTAGCTGGGAAAAGAACAAAGAACATTAGAGCAACAGCTCTGAGCCAGCAGCAACAACCTACCCACATTCTAGAGCAAAGCTTCTCAGCATTAATGCACAAGCTAAGACTGGAATCCTTGGTAAAATGCATGACCTGGGCTGCGGAGATGACTCAGAAGGGAAGGTGATTGCTTCACAAACATGGTGACCTGAGTTAGAGTCACAGGGCCTACATAAAACATGGAAGGAGAGAATCAACTCCACAAAGTTGGCCTCTGAAACAAAATGCACTCTGGCATGTGCATTTCCCACCTACCCCTATCATACAAACATGCACACACACACATACACACACACACAGCAGTAATTTTTAAAAAATATATTTTATTTATTATGTATACAATATTCTGTCTGCGTGTATGACTGCAGGCACCAGACCTCATTACAGATGGTTGTGAGCCACCATGTGGTTGCTGGTAACTGAACTCAGAACCTTTGGAAGAGCAGGCAATGCTCTTAACCACTGAGCCATCTCTCCAGCCCCCATTTTACTGATTTGTTTAGTTTTGTTTTGTTTTGGTTTTTCTGAGACAGGGTTTCTTTGTAGCTTTGGAGCCTGTCCTGGAACTAGCTCTTGTAGCCCAGGCTGGCCTCAAACTCACAGAGATCTGTCTGCCTCTGCCTCCCGAGTGCTGGGATTAAAGGCGTGCGCCACCACCACCACCAGGCTTAGAGAACTAATATTTTTTTATGAGAATTTAAGTCTAGATGGAGCGGAGGTTCTTTACTTCTGAACAGCTCCCAAGGGATCTTACATTTTCATTAGCAAGGATCTAGTCAACATCCTCATTAGGTTAAGTATTCCTGAAGTCTTTTCAGAAATAAGTATAAACCAAACTCAAGCACCTTCAAAAAAAATAGAGTACCCACCAATTACCTCTACCTTAAAAGAGCAGAAACTCACAAAACCTTTCATTTGCCCCATGAGTTAGAAAATTAAGAGCACAAAAAGGAAAAGGGTTGGTACCTTAGCCACAGGTAGAGATCAAAAACATCATGGACAGCTTCAAGATCCATGAGGTCTTTAATATTCTTAGGCGGAAGCAAAGGCCACTTGATATACCGGCGTAACCACGCAAAGGTCAGGGGCTCATTCCTGCTGAACTGTCTGGCAAACTGAAAGCAGAGAACAAAGTTTGGTAACAACCAGAATCCTCTTAGGTCTAATTAGAAAGAAAAAGGAGGTACAGCCTGTTAACTGTGGCTGTTTCAAAAGACAAGCTGCTTTCCTTCATGCTTGACACTTTCCTACATTTTAAAAAACATTTACTACTTTATAAGGGTTTATTTAGTTCAGACAAGGTCTTTTTCAAGCCAGGCTGGTCTCAAAATTGCTACCTAACCTAGAGGCCTTGAATTCTTGATTCTCTTGCCTCCACCTGGGCACTGGGGTTATGGGACTGTGCCACCATGTTCAGCTTAAAAATATTTATTTAAAATAAAAATGGGCCAGCAAGACTGACTCCTTGAGTAAGAGCACTTGGTGATAAGCCTCGTGGCCTGAGTTCAGACCCCAGAATCCACATGGTAAGAGAACTGATTTCTCAAGACCACCATGCTAAGTGGCACTCAAGGCCATCAGCAGACTGAGCTCCTCATAGTTCAGGATGGGATGAGGTAGCAGAGCAGCAAAACCCTCCAGATTTCCCAGCTCCCAACAGAAGGTCTAAGCAATGCTGACTTGCATTCTTCCAGGGTCTTTCCTCTCTGGCAGAGGCTCCTGCTTTGTTGGAATTGTTGTCTGGTGAATGGTGTAAACAGGACCAAGGCTACAGGAAGCAGCTCCAGTCATGTGAGCATATAAGTAGCTGAAGATTACCCACAACCTCCCCCTTATTCCAGTTCTCCCACCAATGACATACTTCCGGGAAAGTACCTAAACACAGACCTCTAAGGCACACTGTTAAGAGATAAGGAAAAAAAAAACAAGTTGCAAAATAATTCATTATAACATTTATGGGAAAACACCCACAAAACAGAACTGGAATTCCTACAGGTACGTGCATGAAGACAGATACCATGTGAAATAAACTCTAATAGCAAGTGTTCCAGAGGCCTGAGATTGGGGATGGCAGACAGTGTTAACCTTTCCATAATGTGTTAATTTGGTATAACAAATATGTGTGTATTATTTACATACTTTTACAATAACTTACAAAGTAAACCCAGTAACAGATTTAATTGAAATCGAGCTGCTAAACGTAATGCTAAGGCCTATGGTAGAGATGGCAGAGGTCTGGAGAAGAGCCTTGAGCTTAGCGGCATGAGGTGAGCACTCAGGATGGAGCACCAGGCAGTTCCGTTTCTAGAATCCCGTGCTCCTCACAAGTCACAGCCCAGTGCAAAGGATGAGAAGGAGAGGGGAGAGGCGCAGCCCTTACAGTTGAGGAAGTGAGCACCACTGCTACACCAAACCCTAGCCCTGCAAGTGCTCATTTAACTGTGTGCCAGCTTCTTCACAGTGGCCACCATCCAGGCCCAAATACAAGGCAAGGTTATCCTTCAAAAATTACCAAGTCACTTTATATTTCAATTTTCGGAAAGTTTCCTATATTTGGGGTACTCTCCCAGATGGACAAAGTACGGTTTGGAGGGAAATAGGTCAACCAGAAACAACCCAACGGCATAGAGCTAAAGGCGTACCTGTAACAGGGACGAGCAGACAAAAGGCTGTTTCTTGTTGATGGGGGCTGTGCAGAACACATACCTCACCCGTAGACTTAGTGGAATATGCTGGATCAGCTCTGCAGAGAACTTAAAATCATCCATATTGCAGACAAAATAGTGTCCATCAACTTGTGCAAAGTCCACAAAAATATCCTGGGGGAAAATACATATGAAATTACTGGACCGCCTGGATGTGAATTTCCCCCTGGATGTGAATAAAGAACTCAGGCCCACAAAAAGACAACCTCTTTAATCCCCAGCGACCTCAGGAGAAACGTGCTTCATACTGCTCTCTGAAGTTAGGATGTTTCTCCCATGGTCTTCCTAACCTGCATTTCTTTTTTTTTGGTTTTTCAAGACAGGGTTTCTCTGTGGTTTTGGTTCCTGTCTTACAACTAGCTCTTGTAGACCAGGCTGGTCTCGAACTCACAGAGATCCGCCTGCCTCTGCCTCCCGAGTGCTGGGATTAAAGGCGTGCGCCACCACCGCCCGGCTCCTAATTTCTTTTTGAGACAGAGGCTCACTATGGCTCCCTGGGCCCGAGCACCAGGCTTACAAGTGTGCACTGACACTCTCAGCAATCCCAGACTTTGGAGGTTTTCACCAGCAGTATAAATTTCATGGACAGCAACTGCACAAAAACAGACTACCCACTCCTGTCCATGTCGTGAGCCAGTACCGACATGGTTGTCAACAATTTTAGAAGAAAAAATTAAAAGAGCTTCCACCTACTATGAGGTTGGACAACGTGGTCTCAGGGAGATGGTAGGCAAACATTTCGATCTGCTCAGCAGTTGGGTGGAGACCCGCTGCCTGTAGAAGATAAGATAATCATAAGCTGAGTTCCCCCTCTTCATCTTTTGAATGGTATTTTCTTCTTTTGAAACAATGTCCCACATTAGGCTAATTTTTTACCAAACAAGTCCCATGCCAAGAATTTCAGTAATACAGAGAAAAAGATATGACCATTTTATATTTACTGTAACTAGAAAAGCTAATAGGACTATTTAATGAAAATGGCAGATATGTAGCCTTCTGCTATGTTTCAGTCAGAGTACTAGAATATGTATTTGACAGAATAACAAAAATGCCTTTGAGGATGAAACAATTTTCCTAATTCTAGTTCTTTCTAGGGAATAAAAAAGAACAAGGAGACCCCAGCTACTTCACCATAGGCAACAGAACATGAGAAACATCTGCACTGGAGATCAGCTGGCTTTTCATATACTGAAGTGTTAAGCAATGCCCACAGCGAGTGTGAGGACAAGGGAGAGAGGTGGAGGAAGAAGAAATCAAAAGATGCAAGCCCCAAACGTCACTTGAAGTCCAGAAATGAGGTACACAGGAAGGAAAGAGGGGCTGAGTATAGAGTGCCCAGGAGCCATCCACCGAGGAGAAGTCAGGCCACCTGCCTTCACCCCATCACCTCCCATACAGTTCCCTTTATATCATCTACTGACAAGTAAGCCACTAACGTGAATTTCTAGAAACGTAAAATTAAGTTAGCTTGCTTTAAAATATGATCCAATAACCACATATTGAACTCAGCCCTTACTTGCCTCCAACTGTGTAACTCAGGCTAAGTTTTTCCTCTAGTCAAGCTTTAGCTAGTTCTCTACTTTGTGACTCTATGTGCACCCACAGCAGGAAAAATCATGCCAACTAAACCTGCTGAATCTGGATCTTTCGCTTGTACACAGTTCTCTAAGATGTATGGATGCCTCTCTAACATACTAGAGGAAAGGTAGGCGTGCGTGTGTATGCGTGTGTGTGTGTGTGTGTGTGTGTGTAGCTGAAGCTGGAGTTACAGTTATGAGTTACATGGCATGGGTGCTGGGAAGCACTCTCGGGTGCTCTACAGAAACAGTGTACACTCTTGATGCTGAGTATATACTCTCTCCAGCACCAAGGAGAGTTTCTTGACATGGTTTCCCCAGCTCAAGCTGCCCTTCTGCTTCCCCGCATTTGAGGCAAGAGACTAGGGAAGGAGTGCTGTCCTGCATGCAGCAGGAGCAGTTACATGTTAAGTCTTACCTGTATAGGCTCCACAGGTCTATTCAAAATCTCCTTCAATAAAGCCAAGTCCTCTCCGTGCATTGTTGTGACCTCTCCCTCTTTAAAGTGTGAGCTGAACCGGCCAGCTCTGCCAGCAATCTGCAGAGCTTGGGAGGTGGTGATTGGCTCTAGTTCTTTCTCTCCCTTTTCATTGATGCTGGGCTTTATAAGGGAGTAAAAAATAATTCTCCTTATGCTCCTGAAATAGAAATAAAAGTGACCCCATAGACTATACACGGCCCTGTCACTTGGGTCATCACAGATGTGCTCAGTCCAACTCTCATTTAAGTCAAATGGAGCTGGATAGACAGCTCAGCAGTTAAGAGTACTGGCTGCTCCTCCAGAAGACCCCAGAGTTCTATTCCCAACACCCCCATGGTGGCTCACAATCATCTGCAACTCGAGTCCCGGGGGATATGACACCTCCAATTGTACCACACACACAAGAGTGTTGTGTAGAAATACATTAGGCAAATACCCATACACGTAAAATTTAAAAAAAAAGTTTTTCCCCTCTCTACACAGTCTTTGACTTTCCGGGAACTCACTATGTAGACTAGGCTGGTCTACATATTGACCAATGAGTTCCTGGGCAGCAAGGGCGGTTACACAGAAAAACAAACAACAACAACAAAGACAGTCTCATTTGTAGCCCTGGTGGCTTATACCTCAGTATGTAGCCCTCTTGAATTTTGGATCTTCCTGTCTAGGGTTATAAGTATGCACTACCATGGCCAACTCTCAAGCAATATGTCTGAATAACTGTGTATTTACTTACAGTCACCTTTTTTTTTCTTTTTTTTTTAAAGAATTATTTATTTATTATGTATACAACATTCTGCCTCCATGTATGCCCGCACGCCAGAAGAGGGCGCCAGATCTCATTACAGATGGTTGTGAGCCACCATGTGGTTGCTGGGAATTGAACTCAGGACCTCTGGAAGAGCAGCCAGTGCTCTTAACCACTGAGCCATCTCTCCAGCCCTTACAGTCACCTTTTGAGAGGGCTAATTGTATGATATTCAAATTATTAAGCTAAAGAAAATGACATCAAATAAAGTACTCTCACACTGCTACAGGTCAGCTGTGCTGGGAACAGTGTGGCACAGGCCTCCAGTCCCAGGTACGGAAGCTGAGGCAGAGAGACTGGCTGAGCCCAGAAGTCTGAGGCCAGCCCGGGCAGTGTTGTGACACCAACCGAAGGGATGGCTCAGTTTAGGAGCTTTGGCTGCTCTTGTAAAGGACTGGAGCTCCATTTCTACACCCACCATTCCTACACGGTAGCTCACAGTGACTATCGCCCCCCTCCAGAGGTTCTGACCCTTCAGCACTGCACACATGTGATGCACATACATACATGCAAGTAAAACACTCGTGGATCAGACAAAAAATTTAAATCCTTTTCAAAAATCAAAACAAACAAAAAAGACAAACTGAGTGGTAGCCAAGAGTTCAAGGTCAGTGTGGCCTGGGCGACCTGGTAAGACTGTCCAAAACACACACACAGGTAGCTGCCAAGAACATTTAGTAGTAGTCTTAACAGTCTGGCCACTTTCACTATCTAAAGATAGTAAGTGCCCCACACTGGAGGGTCACATACCGTATGACTAAGAAACCTAAAATAAAGCAAGGGAACAACTGATTTGCCCTAGTAGGGGGTGCTTCAAACCCCAGTGTTCTGTGATAATTCTCTTTTATTTCCCGAACAAGTATAAAAAGATAAAGCTTAAATCTACATTGATTCTAATCGATTAGAAAACTGAAAAAAAAAAACCAACCAAACAACAACAACAAAAAAACCTACATCTAACTCATTGTTTATTATAAACAAATTACTTACAAATTAAGTCCCATGCCAATTGCATCTGTAGCTACCAGGATTTTGCACGGATCACTGGGATCATTAAACTTTCTTGCTTGAGCAAGTTTGGTCCCTAGAAGGAATAGTTCATGTTAATTCCATCTTTCTTACTATGCTTTCTAAACATATCTCCACCTAAATAGAAGACGTAAGAGCTTTTACTCCCCGTCACAGCGAAGGCCAATTATTACCAGGTGGGAGGCTGCCATAGATAACAGCGGATTCCAGTCCCCGGATTTCAATCTGTCGGCTCACAGAATAAATATCATTCTTGCTAAAACAGACAATGCAGTCCCCAGGCCGAAGGTTATCTAAAGACTCTAGTGCATGATCCAGCACGGAAATGGGGGTGAGCCTTTCATAGTTGTGAACCTGCAATAAAGGCATACAAAGAAGAGGAACACAGTCATTCAATGCCAGGTCACTGGAAAGCTGGCAAGGCAGTCAACTGGACTAAAGGCAGGTTAAGAATCGACTTTCAGGAGCAAATCATTTGAGTGTTGCGTTGCCTTCAGTTCTTACGTTGCTAAATCAATGTTATCATGTCGACAGCCTTAAAGAACTCTAACGTACACTGATTTCAGGACAGTGTGGCAGCTTCAGGAAGATTATGGGCTGATATTTCCATTTTATGACAGAGTAAAACAGTCCAATAAAAGATGAGATAGATCTTTTCTGCCTTCTGTGGTCAGCTACAGACAGGACCCAGTGCAGGATTTGAATCCGGAATTTCCCTGCTGCATTCTACTCTCTCCCTCAGAGACAGCATGAAGTGTTACAGGTCAACTTAAAGCATTTTTACATCTCTCTAAGAGCTAACCTTCACTGTCACCACAGACACATATCTCTGGGTGTGCCTTATGACAGTGTTTGCCAAAGGGTGTAACAGCAGGAAAGACCCACCTTAAATGTGAGTAACACCATCCCATGGCTCGGGTTTGGAGAGGATAAAAAGCAAAGCTGGCTGAGCACCTGTGTCTGGCTCTCTGCTTCTGACCCTGCAACCGCGAGAACAAAAGAAGCCCTTCCTTCCTTCCTGCAACTACTTCATCGATTTGCCACAGCAATGAGAACCTTACAGTCTTATTAAGAAATTCTGAATTCTGGGCAGTTTCTAAAGGAAACTAGTATCTCCCTACTCCACATCTGCAAAATGGGCACAAATTAGATGTGGCAATTGCATAAATAACAAAGGCTCCAACGTGAGATACAGAGGACTGAGAACACTCAAGCTTAGGCTGAGCCCAAATTCAATAGTCTGGTTCACTTAGCTCTAAAGAGACTTACAGTCCTGAGCTGTGGATGAAGCTCTATAGTGCAGCATGCGTAAAGCCCTTGGACCCACTCCTAGCACCACAAGAAAGTAAACAAACAAACAAACAAACATTTCTGGCTCAGTCCTCCAAACACTTCATGGAAATTAAAAGCTGAGTGTGTAGGCAATGCCTATAATCACAGTACTCAGGGGGCTAAAGCAGAAGACTGCATTTAAGGCCGAAACAACAACAACAAAACAGCCTGGCCTTGCCCCCAAAGAATCTCCTACCCACACTGTTGGAAGACACAGGGCCAAGGCTTCACCATCAGAACCTCACATTATGAAAGTTAATCTCATATATATACACATTCATATACATACATTATGTATGTATGTATATGTATGTATATATATGTATATGTATACACATATATATATATATTTGAGAGCCGGTCAGTTATAGGAAAATAAAGATTTACTTTTTCCTAAACTGTTTTTAATCTTTCTTTCTTTCTTTTCTTTTCTTTTCTTTTTTTTTTTAAGACAAGGTTTCTCTGTGTTGTTTTGGAGCTAGTCCTGAAACTAGCTCTTTTTTTTTTCCCCGAGATAGGGTTTCTCTGTAGCTTTTGGAGCCTATCCTGGCACTAGCTCTGTAGACCAGGCTGGCCTCGAACTCACAGAGATCCGCCTGTCTCTGCCTCCCGAGTGCTGGGATTAAAGGCATGTGCCACCATCACCCAGCTGTTTTCAATCTTTCTTTAAAAAATACTTTTTAGGCTGCATAAAAATAAGGGGTCTCCTTATGCCAACCTCACATATACTGTGGTACTTGCTCACGGTGTGTTCAATATGTAGTTAAGTTCTGACTTTGCGAGCCTAGCGCTTACAGGAGCCAGTGGACAAGTGCCCTAGGCTCTTGGGCATAGCCCACGGGAAAGCAGTCCAGTCTCTTACCTCTACCTCCTCACCAGTTGTGTACAGAAGCTCAGTGACCAGGTCAATAGCAGCAGATTCTCCGCACAAATGGACTTCCTCAGCACAGAGTCCTGTAAAAGCACACACGGATTTACATTGCTCTGTCTCTTTCTAATGCCATTGTAATTGTCCAACAATTTCAGTCTCTCTGACCCAAGCCTTCTTTGTATGGGGCAAAGATGAGGCCAGTTTTATAATTTTTCTCCCCCGAGACAGGGTTTTTCTGTGTAGCTTTGGTGCCTGTCCTGAAACTCGATCTGTAGAGTAGTATAGAGCAGGTCTCAAACCGCCTGCTTCTGCTTCCGAGTGCTGTGATTAAAGGTGTGCACCACCACTGCCTGGCTCAGTTTTATAAATTTATAGGCCTTTGAATTGCTGCAAATAAGGCTGACAGGGTGAGGCCAAGCAGGACTGGAGGCTGGGACTCTGATGCTTAACGACAGGTGTTAGTTCTAGGCCTGTCTTCTTCAAGTCGGAACTCCACGGAAGCTGAGGTGCTTCAAGGGGTGGTGTGGGGGCCAGTGAGCAGAAACAGCTCCAGGCTCCTCAGCTCCACGCTGTCCTACTGTCACCTACTGCCCCACAGGCAAACTCAGGGTCCAGCTCTCTGCTTTCAATCTGAAAATGTCTACCCTACAGCATGCTGGGTCAAAACTCAGTTCTAGCTAAGCATGGTGGGCTAGGCTATATCCCAACACTTGACAGGCTGGGGCAGGAGGAGCTTAAAATCAGCCTGGGCTACAGAGTGAGACCCTGTTTGAAAAGAGGAAGAAAATTCACTTCAGAAATCAGGCAATATACCAGGCATGGTGGTGCACACCTTTAATCCCAGCAACTGGGAGGCAGAGGCAGGTAGAGCTCTGTGAGTTTGAGGTTAATCTGATCTACAGAGTGAGTCTACAAGACAGCTGGGGCTACACAGAGAAACCCTGTCTCAAAAAACAGAACCCAAAAACAAACAAACAAAAAAAAATCAGGCAATAGACATTTGTAGCCTATGAACCTAAAGAATTCCACTTCTAGGCCCCATCCTATAAAACAAAAACAAATCAAAGGTAGAAAGCTACATCATCAATAACCCTACTACAGCACTGTTAGTGATGAGGAAAATGCTTAGCATCATGAAACAAACGCAGTACCGCTTTTCAGCAGATAATATCCAGACACATTCATTTGTAGATTATGAACAAGAGAACCAGAAAAAAAGCAAAGTTCTGAGTACCACATGTGTTAAAAACTGACATGAACCATACCAAGACATTAACAGTGACTGTAAATTACGGCAAGAAAAACTTTCTTTCCTTTTCCTTAAGGTAGCCGAGGCTGGCCCTGAACTTGCTGTGTAGTTCACGATGATCCCCTCCTCCTCCCAACTGCTAGGATAACTGAAATGTTCAATCATACCCAGTTTATGTAATTCTGGGAATCAGACCCAGGGCGTCATGCATGGCCTGATGCAGGTCCTCTACAAATGAACTGTGTCCCCAAATCAAACTTTCATTGTTTTTGACGCTAAAAGATTAAACTCAGAGCCCTCCCATGCTAGGCTAGTGCTCTACCACTGGGTTATAACCTCAGAGATTCAAAAATTTCTATTTGTGTTATTTGGTTGTGTTAATTTTATAACTCACAAACAGTATTTTTTTCATACTTAGAGTAATATCTAAACAATATTAAAGCTTATACCCATGACTTTCTGATTAACTTTTCTCAGAAGGAGAGGCAGCAGCTGGCTGGAGCAGTAAGAACACTCACCTAGCAGTGCTCTGGTCCAGGCCCATCCTCTGCCTGAGTCTCTAATCATCTGAATCTCATCGATCACAGCCACTTCATCTTAAAACAAAAAGTCACCATGAGCAATAAAGCCACTTAAACTGTAACCCCAGCCCCTCACCAGCGTCATTACCATGGCTTACTGGGTGCATCTTTTCTAGAAGGCTTTGTGCCTCTACACCTTTTGTTCTTCTAAAGAGTTTGTCCTTCTTAAGAAACTTATGAGGGTGGGACCAGGACCTATTCCTAGTGCTTGAACTGGCTTTTTGAAGCCCATTCTCTTTGGAGGGATACCTTGCTCAGTCTAGATATACCTTGGTTCTGCCTCAAAATGTGCCAGACTTTGTTGACTCCCCATGGGAAGCCTTACCCTCTCTGAAGAGTAGATGGGGTGGAATGAGGGGAGGATAGGGGGAGCGGGAGAAGGGGGGGGGAGGAAGTGGGAACTGGATGGGTATGTAAAATGATAAAAGATAGTTTAAAAAAAGAAAAGAAAAAGACACTTAAGAGGTTATCTCCATTTGACAGGAAAGTACACGGAGGCCCAGAGAAGTTACACAGTATGTGTAGGGATGAGACTCAAATCCAAGCCACTTCGTTCTCAACACCACACTCAGAGCCACTCTCCTCCACTGTCTTCATCTGTCCCACCTCTGCAACCCCAGACACACCCTGCTAACTGCCTAATACAAATGACCACATCAGACTGCAGACAGCTTGATGGGTAACAGAGGGTACTTTCAGAGGACCTGGATCTGATGCCCTCTTCTGAACTCTAAGGGCACTTGTGTGCACAAACACACACACACACACACACACACACACACACACACACTTAAAAATAATTCTTAGCACAGCATGGTAGGACATGTCTTTGATCCAGCAGTAGAGAAAAAGAGGCAGGCAGACCTCTATGAGATTGAGAGAAACCCGGTCCATACAGCAAGTTCAGGCCAGTCAAGACAAGTCTCACAAACAAACAAACGACCACATCTACACAGTGGCAGAGGAGAAGACAGGCACCTATGTTTCCAGGGGTGAGGAGTGGAGAGCCTTTCAGTGACCCAAGGAGCTTTCCATGAACAGCTCTCAAGAGCGTCAAGTGCAGGGGATGGAGGGACCCCTCAGGCCAGTGGGCTTGGCTCATGTGCGAGGGTTTTAAGCCCATCGTGTAAAGCAAAGCACTACCTGGTGTCTTTCCTCATGCACAAACACTTCTAACCATGCTACACTGGTTCTACAAGCCACTTTCATTTCCCTCCTAAAATACCAAGGAATTGAGAACATCAAAGAAGGCTAATTTATATTGAAAACCAGATTAAAAATTACTCATCACATCACGACATACAAACAGGATAAAAACTGGGAAATAGAGAACCTATAATTTGTGTGTGCTACTTGCACTTAAAGTGTATGACTTTTATTCACAACACACTGAAAAATGTAAACTATTTTAATCAAGCATTGATTTGAAAAGAAAAGCAAGCTGTTAGTAAAAACCCTACGATCGATCCTTACTATATTTAACATAGTTACCTGATGCATACTCTACAGTAACAACTAACAAAATCTGAAGACTAGCAGAGACTCGAGAATATACACCACGGGTTAATTAAAAGTCACCATTTGGAGACAGATGGGATTAAAACATTACATACACTTTAGCATCTTAAAAATGAAGCCAGAAGTTCATTAATGCATTGTATACAATACAGACTTTTTTCACAACTGCAGAACCTAGGGCAAGTGCTCTACCACTGAGCTACATTTCAGACCCATGGCAAAATTTAATTAAACTAAAATATTCCTTAATAGGGAAAATGCAGAATCTTTGCCATAAAAAAGAGTATCATGTAACAGTTAAATATATATGTATATAAATACAAACACATATATATATACATACATACACACACACAACCAGTCTAACCAGACTATGTCTGACTTTTTTTTTTTTTTTTTTTTGAAAACAAGGTCTCATTACGCAGCCCTGGCTATTTGGAACTCATTATGGAGATCAGGCTGTCCTGGGATTCCCAGAGACCCATCTACCTCTGCTCAAGTGCTAGGATTAAAGTGCTGGGATTAGATTTCATCCAAGGCAAAGGACAACAAGCATTCAGAAGCAAGCATGACGAAGTTTACTGTAAAGCGCTAAGTATTTAGTGTACTATCTTCTTCTAGATTTGTAACTTTTTCATCCTAAGGCTGTATGTTCTAGGTTTAACTACACCGATTTCCCGAGCAGCATATACATACAAGGAGTTGTAACACTGCACATCTCCACAGTACAAGAGACGTGGGCGGCTTGCTTCCCCTCAGGGTCAACCGTCTGCCGCTCTTCACCTGTCACCAAGTCACAGGGGACACCCTGGAAGGAGAAGAAACCCAGACTCGTCTGACTTGAAAATGGTGTTTAAAGCGTTTCATTCCACTACTATCAAACTTATTCAAATAGCTGAAGAAAATATTCCCAATGCTTATTTACACCCATATATCCCTACTCTGCTGTACAACTTAGATAAATCTGAAGAAACATCCAATCAGAAGAACCCTCAGCAGAGAAACTATAGTGGGTCCCCTGTTTCTTGAGACACAGTCTCTAGTAGGCCAGGCTGGCCTCAAACTCACTATGCAACCACATATGATTCGAACTCCTGCTCCTCCTGCCTCCACTTCCTACATCCGGGGATTGCAGACATGCGCCAAGGCTCCCAGCTAATAGTTCTGGCTCTGCTGCTTGTTTCCTTTCATAGTAGTAGGTAACAGGGCTTTGCTCGAGCAGGCAGGTGTTCCACTACTGGGTGTCACCTTTCACTCTCGCTCTGCACATTTCAGCACTGACGGAGTTAATTCAATGATCATGAATTGTTTCTCCATCTAGAACATCACTATGAGTGAAGCTTGAGAACAAAGGGCCTCTCGATCTAACTCCCCAGAAGAAACATCAGTATATGGTGCACTGGGTTCTCAGCCATTCGAGGCAGGACTGCAGGCTTCTCCAGCCGAAAGGATGCTTTGTACTCACTCTGAGAAGGTCTAGTTTACAAGTAACCTACAATATTTAAAAAATAAAAAGGCTCCAGGAGACAAAGACAGAATAAGGAATTCTGAAATTAATGTCAACTGGAAAAATGGCCCCACTGTGTGAGGACTTAGATGGGATCTTAGGAAGGACCAGGGAGATTGTTACTTGAGAATTGACACAGAAATTAAGATAATTTTTTTTCTTATACATATGTGTGTGGTACCTGTAGAGCAGGGAAGGTGTTGGATCCCTTGGGGTTGGAGATATAGGCGCTTTCTGTGAGCTACCCTACATGGGTCCTCTGAAGGGACAGCAAAAATTCTTAACCAGTAAAGCCATTTCTTCAGACCAAAACACTTGAATTTGAGTATGGATTAAATATTAAATAATAGTCTATTCTTTCAGATAAATATTCTATAGTTACGTTAATGAAAAAACAAAAAAATACCAACCAGGTCTTTGTTCTGGAGACAAATATCTAAAATGTATGGCCAAAGTATTATGTATACAAAAAAAAGTAAAAGTAATATCTTTTTAAAATGCAGAATAAAAATTATCTAAACAAAACTGGATAACCATCATGTCATACCATAGTAAGACAATAAAAAATAGCCCATTTAGTGACACAATGCTCAGACCAAAGGGCTTTGGTCCAGTTTTGAAACCGTGGCTCTAGTCCTGATCAGCTCACAGCATCTAAGTCTGATCCAAACGCTGGGGAGCACTGTGAGAAGCCAAGGAGCACTGCAGAGGGAGGCTCAACTCCTGATGGTTTTTCTTAATAAAGAAAATAAATGTTAAAAGAAAAAAGGGGGAGATGAAACACCTAAGAGTTGGATGTGGGCTCCTTCTCATGGACTGCAAGTTTCTCTACCTAAAATATCCAGCTCTATGTGCGCAGTGTTCTTTGATGTTCTCTTGGTTTTCTGGGACAGGGGCTCCCTACGTAGCCCAGGCTTGCCTCCTGCCTCCACATTCCAAGCGCTGGGACCACAGGCCTTGCACGGCATTTTTTTCTGAACTAAGCACACAGCACGCTGGTGGCATGTCAGAGTCCAGCAGCTCTTCCTCCCGCAGCTGTATAGGGCACCACCACCTCTTATGGCTGATGGCTTCTCAGTATGTGACACAGATGCTTCTGTAGCAGAACTGTGTGCTCTTCCCCACCCCCACCTCACAGAGGAAAGCGATCAAGGAAATGAGTGTTGGTATTGTACTAACAGCAGCGTTACTCTTCTCAAAGATCTCGTGGGCCAGCAGTTTCAGAGGGCCGCAGTACACTCCAGATCTCGCAGACAAGTACCTCTGGATTGCATGGTAAGTCTTCCCACTGTTGGTGGGGCCTGAGTGGAATATTATCTTCCGTTGTATGGCTCTGGCTTCTGGGTACCTAAAACATGAGCAGACAAAGAGCTTAATTCTATCAACCTCAGAATCCATTCTAGCAGACAATCTTTGAAAAACTCAATGAACAGATGTATAACCACATCAGGAATGGCACTTACTGGAGGACAAAATCCCAAATGCAAGTGAATGTTTTGGAGACCTCAAGGTTCTGAAAATGAGTTTAAACTGGTCCCATAGATAAGCTTACATCATTCCCACAACTCTGAAGATCAGACCCCAAAGCAGATCTCCCCAGGCCTTCAATTTCAGTTTTTCTGACTAAGGTAACTGAGTCTCTGCTTCTGCCACGTGGACTGACTGGCAAGGAGATATGTGCTTCCACCACATGAAAAAACAAAACTGGGCAAAATACTGCAGCAACTCTTTGGGGCAGAGAAAACAGGCCGTGAGGACTAGACCCTGATGTAAGGGAACACTGGCGACGATCTCCTTACATCCCACCAGGACACTGAGACTGAACCCAAGCAAAGGACAACAGCTGCCCTGAACAAGCTAGAGATCAGACTTAGGTAGTTGGAATTTTTTTTAAAGACACAGTTTTATGTAGCCTAGGTTGGCCTCCACCTTGCTATTTAGTCAAGAATGACTGATTTTTCTTTCTTTCTTTTTTCTCCTTCCTTTTTTTTTGGAAGGCGGGACAGGATCTATCTATGTAGCCCTGGCTATCCTGGAACTCTCTATGTAGACCAGGCTGGCCTCAAAATCAGAGATCCTCCTTCGTTTCCTGAGTGTTGGGACTAAAGGCGTGCACTACTACAATAGCAACTTTGAATTCTTAACCCTCTGCTCTAGCTCCCAAATGCTGAGATTACAGGCATATACGGCCATGCCTGGCTTTATGCAGTGCTGGGAATCAAGTTTAGAGATTTGTCCCGCTCAATTGATCTATCAATTGAGCAAAATCTCCAAACTGGATTTTAGCAGCTGGAATCTGAATGGCAGAGGGCAGAAAAGATAAAGAGAGTGGGAGCCCCGAAGTCACCATGTGCAATGGGAGGGTCTGTGGGGTTCTGGCTAAGGCTGGGCTAGAACTATGTAAGGTGAGAACTGGCAGGGTTTAAAGAGCAGCCCACAGGATTTGAGCGTCCGGAGCGTCTCAAAGGTGTCACAGTGCTTAGATGCTGCAGCTCCAACATCCAGGCAGTCGGACAAGACATCTGGACTACAACATAGAGCAATTTTGCAAAAAACTTTATCTGAAATCCATCCTAAGAAAACCATAACTCAAGCTCTATCAGAATGAAAGGGCCACACCAACAAAATGTCTGACAGAATTCCTTTGTGATTTTATTTTGCTTTCAGGAAAAACAAAATGTAGACTCTATAATTTATTATAAAACAAAAGCATCAACATTAGTTTCCCCAAATGAGGAAATCCCATATCAGTAAGCACAAGAACTAACCAGTTGGGTGGTATCCTCAAGTCACTGATTTTACGGAGATCTTCCTTGCATTCCAGTACAGGAAATATCTGTTTGGCATGTCTTAAGAAAAATGGAAATAAATCGTCCACGTGGGCTGTAAAAGAGCACAGTGCGTGAGCATACTCGCTCTGCATCAATACTCAAAACTGAACCTCAAACTTCCAGTCCTCCTAGTTCAGACCCCACTGCTACAGAAACCATTTCTTCCTTCCTTCCTTTTTTTTTTTTTCCCAACACAGAGTTTTTCTGTGTAGCTGTATGTGTCCTGGAACTAGCTTTGTAGACCAGGTTAGCCTTGAACTCAGAGATTTGCCTGCCTCTGCCTCCTGAGTGCTAGCACTAAAGGTGTACAACACCATGCCCAACAGAAACCATTTCTTTTGAAGGAGGTGAGTTGGACACAGCCAGGGCTGCAGAGCAAGAGGCCCCATCTTTCTCTGGGACCCCACTTTCTATTCCCTCTTTCTCCAAACTTCACTACTTTTCTGGCAAAACAAAAAACTAGCTGCCAACTACCATGTTCCACGCTCTAACTCTCCAGTATAAATAAGCAAATGTTAACACAGTGGGGAAATAAACTGAAAATAAAGAGCCTGGACATACATTAGAGAGACATGAACTTTTCTTTTTTTTTGAAATGTCTTGGGTAAAATGGCTGTTGGGGCTTGAACCCAGAGTTTTGTACATGCTAAGCCTGTGATCAAACCCTGAGCTACATATCCACCCTAGCTCAAGACATTTTTTTAATAAAGATTTATTTATTTATTATGTATACAACATTCTGCCTCCATGTATGCTTGCATGCCAGAAGTCTCATTATGAGATGGCTCTGAGTCACCATGTGGTTGCTGGGAATTGAACTCAGGACCTCTGCAAGAGCAGCCCGTGCTCTTAACCTTTGAGCCATCTCTCCAGCCTTTTTTTTTTTTTCTTTTAATTTAAAAGACCAAAGAAAACCACACCTTAGTGACCATGAGAGGAAAGTAGAGTGTGTCCCATTTGGCTATGTGTCAGGTTCTCCCTCAGTGCCTGGCACAAGCTCAAAGTCTAAGCATCAAATACATTTAACACTATAATTAAGAGCCCAAGATACCTGTGGAAATCAAACAATAACGTTCCTAATTTACTTTTTGTTTTAAGGCCCAGGCTGGCCTGGATCTCAAAGAAATCCTGCCTCAGCCTCCAGAGGGACAGGACTAAGAGAGCCACCATACCTAGTATTTTGTTTTTCTTTTAAGACATGAACTTTATAAAGCATGCTCTTTAATATATTCTTAAATTTCTCATGGCTTCAGAGAAGGCTCGGTGCACACACGTGTTGACTGTGCAAACATGAGACCCTGAGTACAGATCCACACACAACTAGAAGGCCGGACTTCTCTAACCCCAGCTTTGGAAGGGGGAGAAGCAGGGAGACAGGAGGATCTCTGGGGCTTGACAACCACCAGCCCAGCTCTAGGTTTATGAAGAGCCAGTGACAGACTGAATCCTGTTGCCATCCTCTAGTCTCTGTATGAGTACCCAAAGGAGCACGCACACACACACACACACACACACACACACACAATCACTCATTTAAAAATTCTCAGTAGGCTGGAGCGATGGCTCTGTGGTTAAGAAACTGGCTACTAATCCGGAGGACCCAAGTTTGATTCCCAGCACCCACATGGCAGCTCACAAGCATCTACAACTCCAATTCTGGGGGATTTGATACCTTCCTCTGGCCTCTGAAGGCACCACATACATGTGATGCACAAACATATGTGCAAGCATAACACCCATACACATAAAATTAAAAAATTTTAAAACATCCTGTAGCTGAGTGGTGGCTTTAATACCAGCACTCAGGAGTCAGAGGTAGGTGGAGCTCTGTCAGTTGTACAGAGTGAGTCCAGGACAGGCTCCAAAAGCTACACAGAGAAACCCTGTCTCGAAAAAACAAAACAAAACAAAAAAAAAAAAAAAACAAAAAGGAAAAGAAAGAAAAAACAAAAACAAAAAGATAAACACCCAGGCTAGAGAGACATCTCAGAGGTTAAAAGCACTGCCTGCTCTTCCACAGATCCTGAGTTCAATTCCCAGCACAGGTGGCTCACAACCATCTGTAATGAGATCTGATACACTCTTCAGGTTGTACAGGCATGCATGCAGGCAGAACACTGTATACATAATAATTAAAATAAAAGAAAAAGAAAAAGAAAGAAAGAAAGAAAGAAAGAAAGAAAGAAAGAAAGAAAAAGAAAGGGGAAAAAAACCCCTCTAAGCATGCCAAGGAGATAGCTCAGCAAGGAAAGATATTGTCAGACAATCCCAGGAACCTAAAGCTAGAAGAAGAGAACAGAGTCCCAAAAATTGTCCTCTGACCTCCAGCCAAATGAGTGCCATGGCGTACACACACACACACACACACTTCTCTTCTTCCCCCAACTCTCTCCCTCCTCCCTCTCACGCATACAAAGTAATTTTTAAAAATAATTCTCTAGCACTTGCCTGCACTGAAGCAGATGTCATTCAAGACAATGTGGATGTCCACATCCAGAGAATGAGATTGCATAATGTAATTTCTGAAGCTTATGAAAGCTTGGTGAAAGAGACGGGCTGTGGAAGACATGAAATCAAAGCATACAAGACTCAGTTTCTACTTCGCTCTCAATACTGAAACATATACACATTGCAGCAAGCTCCAAGAGTCTATTACCGTTTGGTTAGCACAGCTGGTTTACTACAAGCTGGGCTGAAGCTAACACTAAACAGAACACCGTGGCAGGCTGAATATGCAGCTCCTGCACTGTGCAGTCTGGCTTGCAAGCTGGGCTGTAGCTCACCAGAAAGTAAGGAGAGAGACTTTTCTTCAGACTACAAGTACGTAGTATGACTACATATAACAAAGTACAAAGGAAATGTATCAACTCTATAAAGATGTTATTGGCAGAGCTGGAGAGATAGCTCAGTGGTTAAGAACACTGACTGCTCTTCCAGGGAAACAAGGCTCCATTCTCAGTAGCCACATGGTGGCTCACAACCATCGCTAACTCCAATTCCAGGATTTCCAATACTGTCCTCCATGGGCACTGCATGAACGTGGTACATAGACAGACATATACACAGGCAAAAGATACATATAAAATGATAAAGATGATTAAAATAAATGTTAAAAATGTTGTTGACCTTACCATCAAGTCCATAGTCAGCACTCAGTTTTTGGATTTCTTGCCTCTTATAGAACTTGTCTAAGACCTTCTTTACTTCATCTAAAAGAGAGATATAAAAGTTTAACATCTGTTTCCAAGTTTAGACACATACACAAAAAGCAAAAAGAATTTGAAGTCATAACGCAAAAGGCAGCAGCCTCAGGAATGCTACAAGAACGTGACACTCTGAGCTGATGCCTCCTGGTGAGGCCATGTGCAATGGAGTGTAAGGAAAACAGAAAAACAACAGGAGAGCCGTGCTACACCACAGACACACGGAGAGAACCAACTCCACAGAGTGGTCCTCTAACCTCCACCTGCGCCCAAAGCTCCCAGAGCGGCCAGCACTTCCTAGAAGAGGTGAACCCTTCTGGTGTCTGAGGCAGACGGACCGCACTGCTAGGAGTAGTGTCAGCCATGGTAGCTCATGCCAGCAATCAGTAATAGTCTCCTGTCTGAGAACAGCCTGAGCTTCTTTTGAGGAGGAAAAGGGTCGAGGGGGAGGAAGGGGAAAAAAAGAGAAGTACTAGTGGGGCAGGAGGTGGGGCAGGCCTTTAATCCCAGCACTCGGGAGGCAAAGGCAGGTGGGTCTCTGTGAGTACAGAGCTAGTTCCAGGACAGGCTCCAAAGCAACAGAGAAACCCTGTCTCTAAAAACACAACACACACACACACACACACACACACACACACACAGAGAGAGAGAGAGAGAGAGAGAGAGAGAGAGAGAGAGAGAGAGAGAGAGAGAACGAGAACGAGAACTACTATTTTGTTGAGCTTGGCAAGTGCTGTGTCCCAGGGCTATATCCTTGAGCTCATTTAAAAACAAACAAACCTTAATTTTGAAACAGGATCTCTTTAAGTTGCAGTCGCTGGTTTGGAACTGAACTCTGTAGCCCAGGATGGCACTGAACTTGCCATTCTGCTGCCTCAGACTCCCAAGATGAAGTCTGTATTTTAAAGTCATAGTAGGACACACCGATTTTGTTATTAAAGGCAGTTGCTTAAAAGTCGTTCCTGGATAGCTGGTGCCCAGAAGACCTGTGGTGTTCCTTCATTCAACAAAAATGTTATTCAGCTGGAGGAAACCTTTCATCCTCCTAATCATACAGTGGCAAAAACCATCCATATAATCTGAAGGCCCAGCCCGTTCCACTGAAAACAATTACATGCTTGTCAAACTTACCCACACCTAGTTGGTAGGACAAAAATCCCACTGTCACCCAGTAATGCTAAGTCTTTTTTCTTCATCTCTGGAGCCTGGGCCGGTAGGGGTATTTATTACTTTTGGCAAGGACACTTTTTTTTTTTTATCAACTTTTATCTTGTATTTACCTCATAGGAGAAATTCTTATTGAGAAATTGGGCTCTGAGACTGGTCGTCTTGGCAACAAGACGGCATCTTAACATTGTTAGACATCCGCGTCCAGTTAATGGCAAAGAATTCTGAAAGTCCTCACTGCCATCCCTTCACGCCCTCTACGGACCCGAGGAGGACAAGCGGCGCACCACTTAGGTATTAAATTTTTCTTAACCCTCTCAATCCAAGAGATAGAGTTTAACCACTCAGAGGAGGGACGGGAAGAGTCAATGTCCCTATAAAGGGAGGTAAGAATAACTAGTTTGCACTGCACCCTGCAGGCCCGACCCTCAGCACTGCCGCTTCACCCGGCGGCTCCAAAACTCACTCTTGTCCAGAGGCCGAGTGAGCTCGGCGCCCACGTCGCCGTCGGCGCTGGGACCCTGAGGCTTCACTGTCAGAGGAACGAACAAGGACGTGTTCGGGGCTTTGGAGCCACCAGAGGCAGATGAGGAGGAGGCGGCCAGGCAGGGGACGCGTCCTGGAGCCCCGGGGAAAGGCCCCACGAGGGCGCGAAGGGCGGAGCAGGTGGCCGCCCGAGACCCAGCCCCGCGCCCCGCGGGGAGCCGAGCCCACAGCAGGGCACACCGAGGAAAGGACATCGAGACCGCGGCTCTACTCCGAGCCGGGAGAAGCCCGGCGACTGGGCGCTGAACAGTGACGCACGTTGGGAGCCCGCAGAGCGAAAGGACCCAGAGCGTGGTAGGGCTGTCCCAGAGCGCGCCTGACCACAAAGGAGATGTAAGTGCCGGAACCTCGCTCTCTTCAAAAGAGAATGACATCTGTAGGGTACAACCGAGGAAACGAGCTCGCATTCTCTCACTCTTTCCACGGCAATTGGCAGTAGCTTTCTCCAAGGAAGGGAAAATAATCAGGCATATTTAGGGACGCCACAGATGAGCCGAGGGGAACCTTGCAGCGTCGTCACGTGATCAAACTGGCCCCTGCAGTGAGCCAGCCTCCAGGTGCACGTGGCTTTAAATGCTTGCGTTATTATCTTTAGTTTCTTGGTAGGATGACGTTAAAGGACAGAGGTTGACCTGTTACTGATCAAGACGGGTTTCAGAGACCTTTCATTTACTTAACGACAGTTAAGTCCTTGTATGGCATGTGTGTCGCTCCTCGCTGCTAGGACTCGATGATGCTAAACATTTGCCTCACCACTGAGCTTACAGAACTTAAACATGAACGTAAGCAGCTTGTACTCTTCCTCACAGCTCGTAAGTCAGAACAAAGCGAAAGTAATTGCTGTGTACCTGCTTAAAGATTAATGTTGTTTGTGTTGGATACTGTTTCCTCCCGAGACTGAAACATATTAAATTCAAAGCAAATGGTCACAAGTTCCTCTTACTTCCCGATTCCTACATTACGATCTTGTAACTAAATAACATGTTATATAAGTAATATCCTGTGTCAAAAAGTTAGTTTGCTAAGTGCCTTTTCTTGTTTTGTTTTTCGAGACAGATTTGATTTACAAAGTAATGTTAGGGATTTAAGGAGAGGTCCTTAAATTTTATTATGTTCGGTTGGAACCTCCAGCTCACCCCTGCATCTGGAAAGCTCCCTTCCTCCTTATCTACCTTTTGTCAAAGTTTCCCAAGATGGAGTACCAACTGGTGAGCAAATCAAGTTCTGCTCTGGCGAGTGCTTGCCCTTGAGGGGGAGTCAGGGCCTTAATTTTTGTTCTCTGTGTATCTGTTGTGTCTTGTCCTCTTTGGCTGTCTCAAGTACAGAAGAGCTGGTCTGTCCTTCAAACTCTCACTGCCCTGTTCATCTGAGTTACATGAGCAGTATTAATCCCTTCCCTGGGGGATTATCGGCTGCTTGGAGTTTGCAGTCCACCAAGTCTGGACAGCTCTCCTGAGCTTGGCGCCAAATGGAGGACTCCCTTCCCCCACTTCCTGCTTCCTGCTCTCTGCCTGACCTTATTTGGAAGCTGCTTTGATTCCTGATGCCTGCCTTTTGATATAGTTCCTTCAAATGCCCCCCCCCCCCCCC